CGTGTGTAGTATTATATTTCTTATTTGTTCAATTTGTTGTTTTTTTTGTTTATACTTTTTATTTTTGCATTTCTTTTTTTTAAAATTCTGTTAATTGTGTTGTGTTTTAGTGTTGCATTATTTTTTTGTTATTTCTTTTGTCTCTCTTATTTTTTATTTTTTTAAAATTGCGTTTTTTCTGTTATTTTTCATTATATGTTTTTTGTTTTTTACATTTTTAGTTCGCTTGATTTATATGTCTTCTTAACTTTTTTTGTTTTTTTTTGCCTTTAAATTCCCTTTTTCATTTTTTTGAACTTCTCCTTTCTATCGGTGGATTCCGTAGCGTCTGTTTGCATCTTGTTACCTTTTTAAGAATCTGTCTTTGGTGTTTTTTAATTAATTTATTATTCCAGGAATGTTTGTTTTTGAAATTGAATCTGTGTTGTCAGAAGATTATTAATTCAGGTAGACTCGTTGCGTTCCACGTAGAGATATCACTGTTTGCTGTATGAGACCCTAAACTCTTTCCTCACTGTCAATCTGCCGTTATGGTGCTTTGTGTATACAGATAAATGTGACTGCAATGCTAGTGAAAGGATCTTTCGATCTTTATTTCCACAATCTTATTGGTAATCCCAGATGTCAGCGTTCTCTTATTTCATCTAAGCGGGGCGGAGTTTGCATGGTAACGTGGACTAAAAAGTCAATTAGATTCCATGGAAAGTCATGCGTTCTTCCATTCTTAGAAAAAAAGTGTGGGGATAGTACGGCCGGTCTGACTAAAGAACTATTACAGTATTTCTTTTACTATAGAGATTACTGAGGCATTGTGAGTCTTTCTTATCACGTCTACTGTTTTCAGTTGCACGAGGGCGGGAAAAGAGGATCTAAGGTTTGCTCAGATTCTCCCTCGTATAGGTACTTGCACGTTGAGGGAAAATGCAGGGGACGTTAGAATACATAAGGCTGTTTAAGTGTGTGTGACATCATACTTTTAGTTACATTGTGTTTTTATTTCCATTCCTTATTTAGGAAGTCTTTCATTAGGAAGCTAGGAGCTGCGCCACGTGCGAGGGAGGTTCTTAATTACTTTTGTGATTCGGTAAATGAATCCAAATAGAGGAGCGGATCTTGTGCGAATGCATACAGCCTCTGCTTCTTTCGTCTTTACTAAAGTCATTTTTCTACTGGAGGTACAAAAAGAGTAGGTTAACAGTTTATAAAAGGCAAGACAAAAGTCAAACTCCATCGACCAAGGGCTTCGAACTGTGAAAGGCATTGCGTTCGAAGGGGCCCGTACGTATAAGTATCATTCAGAGAAACTGCGTACGATGGCAGGGATGAGTACGCCGGTATTATATCCAAATCGTGTAAGCGTGCATCCCGTCTGTCCGCCATTTGAATCGAGCAACTGGGTTGGCGGCTACGAAGGTGGCCACTGCTCGCCCTCGCTGTTGTTTGATTGTGGCTTATCGTTTCGCCTGAACCCCTTTGAGCCACCGTATCGCCGTTTCCTAAATACGCGGCGGCTGTTCAACGAGCAGCGTCCTGAGGTCTTGGCATCCCACCTCCACGATGCCGTCTGGCCGGAGTACTCGCAGCGCGCAGTCCCATCGAACCTAGCGGCCTCATCAATCCATCCTTCGTCCTCGAATGAGCATTTTAAATCGTGTGAGGACGATCATTCACTGGATACCGACAACGATGAGGAGGAGCTTGCCGGCTGCCCTTCAGCGGACTCTCGGGCACGTGCTAGAGGTTTGGATACCGAGGATGCATCGAATCCGGCGTGGAGCGATCCCTCACGCCCTGCTGTGAGAGAATCCTTTGCATCACGAAGGACGGCTTCCTTCACAGGTGGTGTGCAGACGTTCAATGAAAAGTGGGTCCTCTCTATGGATATTGAGCATAAGCTCAGGGGCCATCAGGGGTGCGTCAATACTATTCATGTTGACTCGCTCGGGCAATTTCTTCTCTCCGGTTCCGATGACAGATATCTTTGCATGTACAATACTTTTACGTGGGAGCTCCTCCATAGGTACTCCACAGGGCACACTCGAAATATCTTTGACGCGAAGTTTCTGCCCTATGACTGCACCAAAATTGTGTCCTGCGGCATGGATGGCGAAACTTTTTTATTGGATACGGTAGCAGATATCAGCTTCTCTAAATTCTCATCGTCATCGGTGGGAAGCTCGGTTCTCTGCTCCATATGCTGGCCAAATACGGCTTACGTAGCGTATGGCGATGGTCGCCTGGTGTGCATCGACACCCGTTGCTGCATTGGATGGAGCACACACAGCACCGTTCTTTCCCCTACTTCAGTTTTTTCTCTTAACGGTATCGCTACCCATGAGAGGTGCCCATACACAATTGCGTGCGCTACGGACGTTGGATATATATTCCTAGTAGATATTCGTATGAATTCGCTCGCACCATATGCAGCTCTTGGTGTTTTAAAGCCGCCGTTTATGAGAACGATGCAGCCGTTCAGACCCCAGCCGTCGCCCTACGGTTCGAGTAGCGACCGATTAATCAGACGTGGCGGCGTGAGCAATCTCTCATTCAGTGAGAGAGGGGATTGGCTGGCCATTAATTTTCGTAACGAAGATGCCTTTATCATTCCATGGCAGTCATGCCTTCAGCGGGCCTATGCGAAGTTTGCACCGGACGAGGAGGACCCTTGCAATTCCATGGGCCTTGAAGCCTCTAATAGGGCACCATCAGAGGTACGTATGCACCTTACTGGCGGTCAATCGATTCCCATCGTACCGTGCAGCGTCTCGGACGGCATGCGCTGCCTGTACGGCCGCGTGAATTGTGATACGATGTTTAAAGCAATCATCTTTCTTGAAGATGATACGATGGTGTGCACCGGCAGTGATGACGGCTCGGTAGTTTTTTGGCGCTCCGACGATGGGAAGTATCTCGGAAAGATCCCTGGGGACGGGTCTATCGTCAACGGTGTCCTTTACCCTCCTTCCCTGAAGCGTTTGCTGACGTGTGGGCTTGATTCCACCGTCAAGGTCTTTGCACCGATGCTTCGTGAGGAGGATAGCGAAACCGAACGAGATGTTTCTGAGGCCTTGTTCTGGAGCCGAGATCGTAGCCGGATGGTGTCCAGCGTGGTGGAGCCGCTATGGCCGGCGGCGACCCCAGCTCGATTTAGAGAAGCCGAGCGCAGTGGATATGGTGAGATGGGGAGAACCATAGGGGGTGTTGGAGAATATGTAAGAAGTACGGTTGCCCGTCTTGGGTGGATGATCAATATCAATTCATCGTACACGACCGTGAATTTTGATACTGACGCCAACAATCCTGACGCTGAGGAAGGTGAAGGGGATTCTACATATTCAAGTGTTCACTCCTATGGTCTCGCAGCTCGATTGTCGTCTGAACCACATTTGGCGCATGACCTTGAGATTCGCTTGACAAGGAATCCGGTTCGATCACGCAGTTGGGACCCGAATCCCAGGTTGCTGTTCCTTCTTCAAAGGACCAACAGTAACGAGGAAGGAGACAGCTCTCCGACTAATACTGGTTCCGACAGTGAAGAAAGCGCCGCGCATAGTAATTCAGAGGTTTTCTTTGTAGACTCTAACGAGCAGACCGCGCCGGGGTTGGACAATGCCCTGCACTCAGATTCAAGCGTATCTGAGGGCTATGCGCTGCGTCAACCCATTGAGAGTGAGGTTGATCAAAGCGAGACGACCGGTCCACGAATTTCGGCGTCGCAATTATCTCATCAACAGTCCATAATAAATATTCTGAATGCTCTCATCTTGTCAGAGTGTCTCCTGGTCCAAACTATTTCTTCCAGTACCAATCGTGCAAGGCTGGCTCAGATCCGCAATTGCCTAGAAAGTGTCGTACCCGAGTTCTATCCGACTTCACCAAGGACGGGGGCTCGGCAGGATGCTCCACTTTTGGACGAAACTTTCCTCGCTGGTTATTCCGAACGCACCACCGATGTCTTTGCATTTGGACCTTCAAGGACCGATGAGGAGCAATCGAGCGTGGCGCGCTCCGAGGAGGACTCCCTTCTGGAATCTTTCTCCTCCGGTGGAAGTGATGTGGGCGGCGTCTCCACAACGATCCTGGCGAACATGACCGAGCGGCGGCGTTTATCTTCCGCTTTTGCGAGCGCAGGGCCGTCCGCGATTCGGAATCGGGCAGAAGCACAGAGCCGTGGCGGGGATCACGAGGGCCGTGGGGAGAGACGAACCGATGAGGCGCCGTCATCCCGCCAACGCCAGGGAGGGGGCGCCTCAAACTCCCACCAGGATCCCAGACGACGTCCTAAAAAGCAAAAAACGCAGGACCAGTACCAGCATCGCCCGATTCGAAAGTACTTGCGCGTCGTGCATCATCTTCTCAATGTGGTGCGCGAGCTCTTTGAGCAGCGCCGCTGCCTAGGGTATAATCTGACCTCCAGGCGGAATGGACTCCACCTGCTTCGATTCTTCGAGGTTGGATCGCAGCCACTGAGTTGGGAGACCTGCTCCCTTGCCAACCCGATGTTTCCGTGGTTGAGGACGCAGCTTAAGATGGAGGAGTCTGTGCGGTGGGTCAGCCTCCCACCCCCATTCGATTCCACCCTGGCCGATGCCGCTCCGGACGAGAGGGGGGGCTTCATTCCGGATCGAACGAATCCCCACGGTGGGGGCGGCGGCCACGATGCCGAGCGTGCCTTCCTGGGCATCGCCGGGCTAAAGGACGCCGATCACTTCTACGACGTCATCCTGCAAGCGGAGTCGAACCGGTGGCTCAAAGGGCGGCAGCGGAAGTTTGGCGACCTCACCCACCGCCTCGTTCTGCTTTTGCGCGTCGTTCACCTCCTCCTCGCGAATCACCACCCTGCCTGCCTCACCGCACGGCAGAGTCGCCGCTACTGCGCCCTCCTCGCCTGCCTGCACGCGCATTGGGTGTATTTTTACATGTCGGTGGGGATGTGGGATTTGGCGCTCATCCACTGCGACGTCCTCGACGGCAGCTTTGAGTTCGCGAACCTCCGCGGGATGGGCGCGTCCGCCGGGCCGGAGCCTTTACGCTCCCCGCCTCGCCGCCGCCGCCCTCACGTGGCGAAATCAAAATCGAGGCCGAAACGCCCCCCTGGCGGCGCGGTGGTGGCCCCTCCAAACCCTTCCGAAGGCGGTGCGCGGGAGCCCCCCTCCTCCTCTTCTCGCCTTTCCCCTTCCTCTTCTCCTCCTTCTCGGTCTCCCACGTTCGTTCGGGATCCTGACGTCTACCGGTGGGTGCCGAACCTCCACGCCCACCTTCCCTGCTCCTCCAGTGAGCAGGGGGGGCCCTCCAACGCGGATGGCAATGACATCGATGACGACCTCGCGCGGGGGAATACGCTGACGATGCCGATGCGATGCTACCGCAAGCTCCTCATCCCGCTCGTGCTGAAGGTGAAGATCCTTGCCGGGGCAATTCAGGTGCTTGAGGATCAGCTCGCGTTGCAGCGCCGCCCTCGCGAGGAGATCCTGATCACCGAAACGAGTGAAATGCTTTCGGATCTGAACCTGGATACCATCGGTATTGATTTCGCCTTTTTGAAGAGTGAGATTCTACTAACCGCGCGGGCGCAGCTTCAGCGGTATATGCAGGGGGTCCGGGAGGATTTCATCTGCCACAGCTTTCCCCAGTCTATCTTTCCCGCCCGAAAGCTCGACGACGCACAGCAACACGAGAAAACGGAGGCACAGGTGAGGGTGTTGCAAGCGCAGCTGTCTGAGGCGTACCACGAACTACGCCGACGCATGCGACAGCACCCCAACAAGACCTTAACGAATCGAATTCTTTCCGTGCTGGCGCAATGCAATATCCTCACAACGGTGCCTGTTGAGGAAGGGAATGACGGCATTGCGTCATAGACTTTGCGTTAGTAATAAGCCTAACAAAAGAGAGATTACTATTCTTCGCTGAACTTAATCAGCTTTCATTCACCCGTGAGGAGATGATATGGGGCTTCAGCAGGATCAAACTACCACCCAAAAACCAATAGCTAATGTTGCCTTTAGCGAAAGAAACCAAAATAATGCGAATACTTGCACTGAATTTTCATCCAAACACCAACCAATTGTTTATTATTAAAACGGTGCCTGCATTTTGTTTATTGGGTGAACGATTTTACGATTTTTTTTTTTGCTTATCGATCTTTCTTCTCAAATCATTTATCAAGTTATGAGCGCAGTGGACAGGTTTGTGAGCCTTGGTTTGCAATTTATTTTTAAAAGAGAAAATCTGAGAAGCTTCAGACTTGACAAAATTTTATAAAAAAATATTTTCCACTACACTATGCTGAAAAAAATAGCCGAAGCAATATATTGCTCGCAAATTTGAACCCATATGTATGAATTCATATGAAGGAAATGTAAGCGCATTTCCTCCTATACTATGAAACAATGCTAGGGAAGCTATTCACACGGTTTAACAGAACTCAAAAAGCTTAAAGACTGTGGTGTTTTGCCTGCATTTTAATGCTTTTTTTTGCATATTCTATTACAATCCTTATATATACTTCTGGATTCTCTCTTTTTATTTACATGTCTCACAATAAAACCTTTTTCGTACTTGCCTGTTGATGGGAATAAAGCTTCATATCTATATCTATATCTATATCTATATAGATCTATCCATATCTATTTATCAACTGATCCATCAAAACACTAAAGACAGCGAAATCTCCAAAGCTTATTGGCGTACTCGCGGAATTATCGTCTGCAAATCGTGATGTCTTACCTATCCCAGGACTCAGAAGGTTCCTCTTTTATGCCGATTGCCATCGTTGTCATCAATGAGGAAGATCCTAATATCTCCGCTGCTCGGGTTAAGCGAATAAACTTTATCCTGGAGCAGCTTGGAGTGTCCACATCACGTGCCTCCACCCAGATCCATGCCCATCCAGAGGCTATCCATCTCATCAGTCTCAACGACCTATACTATCTATCCCAGAATGCCGTATTGTTGGTTGAGCATCCTGACGTGAAGTGCGACTTCAGGACGCTCGCCTTACTTCTCTGGAGCATGCTTCGGAATGTTGCATCCCAAACGAACCAATTTTCCGTTGAGTCACTGGATTTATGGCCGACCGTCAATGCCCCCAACGAGCGCGTCAAGGATCCGTCAAGTGCGACGGATTTGTTAACCTCCAAGCTGTCATCGAGTGCTCCAAAGGACTTCAAGGTTCCCTTTCCGTCCGTTTCAGAGTTAACTTCCACTGAGGTGCGGGGGGGAGAGAACACGTCGCCGCCTCTGAAAAGGCCTGGCCAGGCGCACCGCCCGTACGCCCGTTTCTATCGAGTTTTGACCCGCGTGCTATACATCGTCGGCCTCCTGCGGGCCTTTGAGCACGCCTATTTACAGAATCCAAAGCGCGTGCAAGGGGTGAATATCACAGAGCAAGACCTGGACCTCGTCATTCATCTTTGTCAGCAGTTCACGAGTTGGCTGATGGACCTGATGCCCGTCGGGGATGCGTCAGGGGGACGCTCAACGACGCCGACGGCCTACTCCCAATCCGACCACCAAATGGCGAAACTCCTCGCACAGGATGTCGGCTCCTTGTGGATGCTCATCGCCGACTTTGCCGCGCGCCCGGAGCTGGAGATCGACCCCATTCTTCGTCTTTTCCACTCCGACGAGGCGTGGTTGGCGAGCGGGCTCGGCCCGATTACCGTCCTCAGCTACTGCTGCGGCCTTCGCGGGCTCCTCCACACCCTCCTGACGAGTCGACGGGAGGATTTCGCCAACTCGGAGGAGGTCGCGGCGCGGTTGATGTGGGGCCGACTCGCGCACCGCCCGAAATACCGCTGGGAGGCGTTTAAATTCCTCTACTTCAGCGCGAAGAACCTCGCGGCGCTCCAGGAGCACCCCGACAACGTCGTCTTCGGGCAGCTCATGATGA